TTATGTCCAACCTCGAACGTGGGGTGAACCAGAGGCTGTCGGTGATCCAACAGCTGCAGTAGCCGCCTCTTGAAGTTCAAAGTATTTTCACTTCTGACTTAGCTTCCTTGAAAAAAATACATAACCACTCCTAACACAGTGTATATTTTTGTAACATACATATATCATGTCTCCCTTATTCTCAATAATGTGTGACCAAAAAGATATATCACATTAAGCATTTATTGAAATACATAAATGTCATGACATCGAAATTTATGTCACAAAAAACAAATAGTGATGTAAATGCTAATTTTAATGATAATATTTTCAACATTAATGAATATGATCACTTCAGGTGGAGTTGTAATTTTTGAAGTTTCAAAAATGGTTCAATGACCAAAGAAGATGTACTATGGCTTACTTCATTAAGATGCTGCCAAAAAGATCTTCCATTACCATCCTAAGTGTAGGAAAATGGGGCTTACTTATCATAAGTGTAGGGAAATAGTGGGGATTAAGTATGTTCCGGATCAGTTTGATGAAATCTCAGGATTAAGGCTTAATGCTGCTAAGTCTGAGATGTTCTCTTCTAGTATGACTAAGGTTCAGTTGGACCTTCTTCATGGGCTACTAGTTCCAAGCTTGGATCCTTACCTGTCATGTATCTTAGGGTCCCATTAGTTAATAGGAAGTTGATAGAAAAGGGTTGCACTTGTTTGGTGGAAAAGATCACAGCTAAGCTTCGACTCTGGTTAAATAGGTGGCTTAATTATGCTGGCAAGATGCAACTGGCTGGTATTGTTCTTTTCAGTATTGCTAACTTGTGTTGTAGATAGTTGGTATTGCCTTCTAGTGTTATCAGGAGAATGGATCAACTTTGTGAATTTTTTTTGGAAAGGTGGTGATGTTCTTACTAATTAGGCGAAGGTTAAATGGGAGTGTATTTGTTGCTCCCAAATTTGAGGGGTCTAGGGATGAAGAATCTGAAAAGCTGGAACAAAACTTGTGTGCTCTTCTGCTGTTATCAAGAGAATAGATCAACTTTGTGTATTTTTTTGGAAAGGTGGTGATGTGTTTGCTAATGAAGCCAAGGTTAAGTGGGAGTGTATCTGTTGCTCCAAAATCTGAGGGGGTCTGGGGGTGAAGAATCTGAAAAGATGGAACAAAACTTGTGTGCTCTTGTTGATGAAGAATATCCTAGCTAACGAAGGATCCTTATATGTGGCCTGGGTTCGTGCTTATGTCTTGAAGGGCATAGATTTTCTGTAGGTTGACTGTGAACCCCATTTTAACTAGATTTTGATTAGGACTATTCTGGGGTTGATGGAGGTGGCCAAGTCTTGTTACGGGTAGCCTTGATTGGGATAGGATAATGATGAGGTGGTTATTGAATGAGACTAGAAATGAGGACAATATTGAGTGATAGAGGCTTTTATGGTTTTTTATGAATGTCCTTAAGCATTTTACCATTGTCTGGATGGTAGTTCTTAACAACCTACAACTGATCGTTTGCTCAAGATGGGATTAATTTGGATGTAGGCTGTAGGAACTGTGATGAGATGGAGTAGGAATCTCGGGATCATATCTTCTTTGAATGTGCTTTCTTAAGGGAGGTTTGGGAGGCTGTTTTGAGGCTTTATGGCATCCGTAGGGATGTGAGAAGTAGAAATGAGGAACTTGGCTAAGCTATATCTTGGTTCAAGGACAAATCGTTGCTACTGTATATCCTGCGAGTGGGTTGGTGTGTTTACATATATATTGTATATGGGAATAAAGGAATTTTAGGCAATTTAGAGGTGTAAAGAGGAGTGTAGGTGAGATTTAGATATTATTAAAGGAATTGTTCGAATCTAAGTGTTTAGGAAGATTATTATATGCGATGTTGTAAATCATGATCTTTGTATAGCTTGGGGGCTCTGATTCCCCTAGGGTTGGTGTTGTTTCTGTTATTTTGTAGTAGCGTGTTTAACGCTTCTTGGATAATAAGAAAATTCAATTTATCAGAACAAATGTAATGTTTTTTTATTAATTTGGGGTAAGTACAATGTAATATTTGTTCAAAGATAACTCTCAGCTATTTGACATTGAACAATCACACTTCTAGCATTTCTGACTGAGATCTCAAGAAATAATAATAATTCTTTTATCATCGAAATCGTTTAGTTCGTGCATAAAAATGTAATTATTGAGGAATTACAATAACATCGATTAATTAGTTTATTAGTTCGTTATGCCGCTTGGGTTCTAAAATCGTCTGATTTCCATTAATTGGATAAAGACATTACTATATCTGATAACTCTGTTAGTTAGGATTTCAGAGAAATTCATTGAATGCAAGAATGAATGTTTTAAGTACAAGTTGTCACACCGTGAGAACATGCATGCTCTAAGCATTTGGGAATATTTTTTTTTATCGAAGGTCAACCAATCGCTGCTCCTACAGCTTGTAATGGACAAACCTTTTTATCATATTTTAATTGTTTTATTCGATGGAAATATATATATATATAAAGAAATGATACAAAATTAATTCAAATCAACACTTGATAAAATGGTAAAAATACATTCCATTTCCAATGAATCTTAAATGAGCTTCGGAAGAAAACTGGTCTTAAAATATAATTAAATCATACAAATTTAAAAAAATTAATTTCATTAATTTTAAAATTAACAAAATTTAAACATATTAAATTAGAAATAATGGACTAAGGCTTAATTACATTAAATCATTTAAAACGAAGATTTGTTATAAACAAAAAAAAAGTTTGAAACATAACTTAAAATTAATAATTTTAAAATTTTCACGAACTTAAAATATAATTCAATTATAAACGTTAGGACATAAACCATTCCACTGTAACACATTGGAATCCTAGTCTATGAGAATTAAACTATTTTTGCCTAGAATGAAAATCGAATTTAATTGAATTGAGTTTTAAATTAATTAAATTGCATAGGATAAATTAAATTGCCTAAGTAAAATCCAAGTTGAATTGAAAATTAAATTAATTACATTGAAAGAGGGCCTAATCGAATTGTTTAGGATAATTATTAAGTTGAATTAAAACCTGGATTAATTAAATTAAACAAGGATCTAATTAAAAATAGGAAAAGAGTAATAACCTAAATCATTGTGGTCAGGTTGAATTAGATTGCAAATATTATTATTTCATGCTAAAAATTCAAATTCCTATAAATGCCCTTGAATGGTTGGTTACTTAAGTACTAAGAGAGGCTAAATTAGGCATTTCCACCTCCATTAAGGATGAAATAATATCATCCTTCCCATTTCATTTGGTGACCGGACAAAGAAAGAAAAATTAGATAGAATTTAGAAAGAAAAAAAATGGAGAGAATACAAAGAAGAAGACAGTCCATGCAAGCTTAGTTCAAGCTTGAATTAACTAAGGAAATTACATAGCCTAACAAGTAAGTCTTTCATTCTCTTTCCATTCGAAATTTTAAGGATTTAATTGAGTTAATTCTTGAGAAATTGATAAGCTTGATTATTGAATAAATTAAAATTGTTGGCTTGCATGATACTAGAGATTATGGTGATCATGTTGAGTTAAATTTAAGTGATCAAGAACCTTGTTAAGTTGGGTAAACTATGGGTTATCATCTTAAGGTAATAACTGAAATAATTGTTCATGCATGTGACCAAATTAAGAAAATTGAAAGGTTGTGTACTAAATTGGAAAAAATATATGTAGGATAAAGTTGCTGATTAGGCATCGTATCGGAGGATTTTGTGAAGCTCGACCAGAAGACTTTGAGCCGGATCCAGCTACTGATTCATCCTTATCAGAAGTGCATGTTACTTTTCCAGCATCTCCAGGTAAATTCTCCAATGGAGGCTCTGAATCAAGAGATTGCATGAACTCGTCAAGAAACAAAACTTTGTTCACAAGTTCACAAGTAATGAAACAAAACTATATAGAAGATATATATACTTGATGACCAACTTTGTTATCGAGCATTAAAGCTTTTGTGCATTTCAAGAAATGAATTTATCCATGGATTGGGCAGAGCAAATCAACAACCAATGAAATCATAGGAACGTAAAAACATGGGCTAAAAGTTAAACCCACGGGTTCTGCACACGCCTAATTTGGAACAATTCGGCCCCATAATCTAATCAAGTATTCCATATAGATACAACAAAATCAAACCTTTAAGTAAGGTCTTTAGCTGAATCTAACTGTGATTTTTGCCATGTTCACTGCCTTGAATAACAGGAACTCTAGTAAAAATCCAAAGTAGGCTGAAATCATTTCAACTACTGAAGGTTCAGTTCAACTAGAATTCTTGCCAAGTATACAGTCTACTCCAATCTAAACTCTCCTATGTTTGACTCAGCCAGAATTTTGATAACAATATCTTAAGTAGGTTTGTGGAATTTTTTCAGATGTTTGAAAATTTTTATGGTGATGGCCACGCCGCACCTATTCCTATGTATTAACCTCAATGTTTGACCAAAATCTAATTCCCTTTCAGACGCAAGTTGTCATAGACGGAGAAGAGGAGGAAGAACGTAATGTTAGAATCGGAGGGGAAGAGAATGAAAGGAGGAACGAAGAAGAATTGGGATTAGAAGAACGAGGGTTAGGGATTAAGGGAAGTAATTTGGGAATTGAAATCAGGGAAGGTTTTGAAGCACGAGGGAGTAAAAGGGTGGACTTATCTGATGGGTTGGAGAAGACTAAAGGAGCAGTGGGGGAGAGTGAGAGTCCCAATCCTGACGGCCCAATACCTGCAGCTGAAATATAAAGATAAGAATCAGTTTGTTATCATTGTGTTATTTTAGAATGCCAGCTGTCCATTTTAGATTCTCAATTCCAGCTTGTATCTAAATAATATATGTTGTGTAATCATATCTTTTTTCCTTATGCAACGAATGAAGTATTTCTTTTCTAAATTATCTCAACTTTCTTCTCTCGAATCTATTTCTTTTCTCCCAATCCATAACAATTGGTAATCAGAGCCTCGATTCTGGCATGCCAAAGAGGAATCAAACTATGGTTGAAGCTGATTTATCAGGGTTGCAAAAGCAGATTGAAGATTTAACTGCTTTAGTTAAACAAGGACGGGATGAAACCAATCCACCCAAATGGTGGGAAAATCAAGAGAATCGAATCAATGCATTGGAGTCCAGAATGGAAACTAATCAAGGCTATGTGGAAGAGTTATTGAAGATATTGACAGGCAGAACTGGAGACCAAGAGCAATCTGTTGGTGAGCAGGTACAATCTCCTGATACTTCTAAAAATAAGGAGAAGACTCCTGTTATGGTGACTGTGGTGAATGACAAATCTAGGTTTACTTATAAAACGAATGAACCTGGGATATTAAAGTCTAAACCCGATGCTTGTCTAGCCATTAAGAACAGTTCTAGGCCTGAGAATCAAATGGGTGAAAATAGTGAATCTAGACCTATTATATTGGGACTAGAAGTTGAAAAAAGGGGGCCAGGGGGTTCATTTAGTTCTGGGATTATGTGGAATAGACCTAAAATAAAACTTCCTTTCTTTAAAGGGGTTAATCTGAGAGGGTGGGTTCAGAAGTGCCTGAAATACTTTTCTATTTGTGGGGTTCCTGTTGAGAAGAGATTGGAACTAGCTACAATGTATTTAACAGACAAGGCAAAAGTTTGGTTTGATGGTTACATTATGCAGAAACACCGTGTGACATGGCATGAATTTGAAGCTAATCTCTGTCATAGATTCAGTGATAGAACTTTTTCTGATATTGTTGAGGAGTTCACTAAATTGACTCAGAAAGGGTCTGTGGAAGATTATCAAGAGAAGTTTGAGGAGTTACAACCTCATATGTTGCAGAATCATACTTTGACTGAGGAATTTTTTGTGTCACTTTTTATTAGTGGACTTAGAGATGATATCAAGCATAGGGTCAAGGCTTTAGATCCTAAAAATTTATCTGAAGCATCTAAACAGGCCAAACTGTATGAACTGTCTATGAAGTTTGGGAACAAAAGAGTGAGGTCTTCTTTTAAAACCCCACCCTACCCAAACCCCTTATATACATCTAAAACAACTACACTGCCAGTACCTACAAAACCTACATCAGTACCAAATCCAAAGCAAAGTCTTATGGATTACAGAAGGCAAAATAACCTCTGCTTTAAATGTGGTGAAAAGTATTTGCCAGGGCATCAGTGTAAAACTAGGCAGTTGAATATGATTAGTGAAGAGATGGAAACTTTTACATTGGAAAATTGTCCTACTGATCCAGAACACTTGCAACAACAAGAAGATGAAAATTTGGAGATTTCTATGAATGCTATTACTGGCTGCATTGGCCATAATACATTGAGAATACATGGTACTATTCAAGGAAGACCATTGAATATCCTAATTGATAGTGGCAGCACACATAGTTTCTTAACTCCTAAATGGGCTTATACGGGTATACAGATTAATACTCCTTATCCCTTGGCTATCACTGTGGCTAATGGTCAACAGTTATTTAGTTCTGCTCGTTGCAACAAAGTTGAATGGAAAATGCAGGGACATACTTTTTTACATGATTTTAGGTTGCTCAAATTGGGGGGAAGTGACATGATTTTGGGAGTTGATTGGATGAGGTTATTCAGTCCAATATTAATGGACTTCAATAATATGACTTTAAGCTTTGACCATCATGGAGAGAAAATTTGTATTCAGAGACAGCAGCCCTCAACTGAACTACAACAAATATCAGGAGCTACATTACTTAAAATGTCTGCATGGGATTCTGATATTTTGGGTCATGTGGTTTTCTTAACTATGGCATGAAATTCTACTTCTATTCCTACTGAACTCCAGCATGTATTGGAGCAGTATAGCATAATTTTTACTGAACCTACAGGCCTACCTAGGCCTTACAGGTTTCCTCATAATCAGAAGGTGGAGGTAGAAAAACAGATTGCCAGTATGTTTTCTTCTGCTGTTATTAAGCCTAGCAGAAGTCCATTTGTATCACCCTGTCTTCTTATTAAAAAGAATGATGGCAGTTGGAGATTTTGTGTGAATTTTAGGCAGTTAAATAGCATGACAATCAAAGACAAATCCATATTCCTATTGTAGAGGATTTATTGGATGAGTTGCATGGGGCATCATATTTTTCTAAGATTGATTTGAGGTCTGGATACTGGCAGATTAGAATCAGACCAGAGGATATTTATAAGACAGTTTTCATAACACATCAAGGGCATTATGAGTTTAAGGTAATGCCTTCTGGCCTTACTAATGCACCTGCTACATTTCAGGCTCTCATGAATGAATTATTTCATTCTTTCCTAAGAAAATTTGTTTTAGTTTTCTTTGATGATATATTAGTGTACAGCAGCAGTATGTAAGAGCATGCTCAACATTTACAACTTGTTTTGGAAGTTTTGCAAGTTAATCAGTTATTTGCAAAACTGTCCAAATGTTTTTTTGGACAGACTAAGGTGGAATATCTTTGTCATATTATTTCTGCTGCAGGGGTGTCTACTGATCCTAGCAAGATTGAAGTGATGCAATCTTGGCCTAAGCCTAAAACCCTTAAATCTCTCAGAGGGTTTCTAGGTCTAACATGTTATTATAGAAGATTCATCAGAGATTATGGCATTATTAGCAAGCCATTGACAGAGATGTTAAAGAAGAATGGCTTTCAGTGGAATTCTGTTGCTTATGCTGCTTTTGAAGATCTTAAAAAGGCTATGTGTTCTGCTCCAGTCCTAGCCCTGCCAAATTTTTCTAAGACATTTTATTTAGAGACAGATGCTAGTTGAGGAGGTGTGGGGATGTTCTTTCCCAAGAAGGAAGACCTATTGCATATTTGAGTAAAGCTCTAAATCCTAGAGACTCAGTATTATCTATTTATGAAAGAGAATATCTTGCTATTCTATTGGTTGTTTCCAAATGGAGGCATTATTTGGAGAGTAGCCCATTTGTTATTAAGACTGACCATGAGCCCTTAAAGTTTTTATTAGAGAAAAAGTTGACCACTACTATTCAAAAGAAGGGGTTGACAAAGTTGCTGGGATTAGATTATACTATTCAAAAGAAGGGGTTGACAAAGTTGTTGGGATTAGATTATACTATTCAGTATAGAAAGGGGAAGTCAAATATAGTTACTGATGCTTTATCTAGAAGGTGGGAGGATCAAGGATAATGTTTGACTATGGGGGTGACAGTTTTGATTCCCAGTTGGGTTCGGGAGATTGAGGACAGTTATAAGGGTGATTCTTTAGCTCAAAATTGGATATCAATTTTGACTGTTAATCCTCCTGCTGATGTTAAGTGGAAGTATGCTAAGGCTGTTCTTAGATATGAAGGGAGAGTTTATGTAGGAGCTAATGGAAGCCTTAGATTGCAGATTATACAGACTTTGCATGACTCTCCTCAAGGGGGACATTCAGGTGCACAGGCTACATATTACAGGATTAGGTCAAATTTTTATTGGCCAAATATTAAATCTATGGTTGCTACTTATGTAAGATGTTGTGAAATTTGCCAGCAGACTAAAGTGGAACATTTAGCTAAGCTTGGTTTACTACAGCCCTTACATGTTCCTACTCAAGCTTGGGAAATTATCACTATGGATTTCATTGAGGGTTTATCTACTTCACTAAAGAAGAACTGTATTTTAGTGATTGTGGATAAATTCACAAAGTACAGTCATTTTCTATATTTATCTCATCCTTATACTGCAGCAGAGGTAGCTAAAATCTACCTAGATAATGTTTATAAACTACATGGTCAGCCTAAAATGGCCATTTCTGACAGAGACAAGACCTTTACTAGCTTGTTTTGGAGGGAGTTGATGAAACAATTGGGTACTAAAGCAGTTTTCAGCACTGCTTACCACCCAAAAACAGATGGCCAAACAGAAAGGGTTAACCAGTGTTTGGAACAGTATTTAAGAGCCATTTGTTTATATCAGCCTAGGAAATTGGCTAACTGGTTATCTCAAGCAGAGTGGTGGTACAACACCACTTATCATACTGCTTTAAAGTTGACTCCATTTGAAGTATTATATGGGTTTAAACCACCTATTATGGTTTGGCCTACAGACTCTACTGTACAGTCAGTCAATGAAATTATGAATAGCAGGGAACATCTCAGGCAGTTAGTTAAACAACAATTAGAGTTAGCCAGTAACAGGATGAAGCAACAGGCAGATAAGAATAGATCAGAGAGGAATTTTAATGTTAGAGATTTGGTTTACCTATGATTACAACCCTATCGGCAGACTTCCCTTGCCCTGCGAAGAAATCTCAAGTTAGCAGCCAAATACTATGGGCCATATAAAATAATTGAAAAGATAGGTGCAATGGCTTATAAATTGCACTTACCAGATTCATCGAGACTTCATCCAGTGTTCCATGCGAGTCTCTTGAAGAAATTCATCGAGGATTCCTCCAAAGCTGTCACAGATCCTCCTGCAATAGAAAATGATGGTCAGTTGCGAATCAAACCATTAAAAGTGGTGGGAAGACGTATTGTGAATCGAAATGGTAAACCCGTAACTCAGCTGTTGATTCGATGGGTGAACATGGATGACGCGAATGATACTTGGGAAGACTATTCAGTTTTGCGAGGACAATTTCCTACGTTTGATCCTTGGGGACAAGGGTCGTCTCGAGAGGGGGGTATTGTCATAGTAGGAAAAGAGGAGGAAGAACGTAATGTTAGAATCGGAGGGGAAGAGAATGAAAGGAGGAACGAAGAAGAATTGGGATTAGAAGAACGAGGGTTAGGGATTAAGGTAAGTAATTTGGGAATTGAAATCAGGGAAGGATTTGAAGCACGAGGGAGTAAAAGGGTGGACTTATCTGATGGGTTGGAGAAGACTAAAGGAGTAGTGGGGGAGAGTGAGAGGCCCAATCCTGACGGCCCAATACCTGCAGTTGAAATATAAAGATAGGAATCAGTTTGTTATCATTATGTTATTTTAGAATGCCAGCTGTCCATTTTAGATTCTCAATTCCAACTTGTATCTAAATAATATATGCTGTATAATCACATCTTTTTTCCTTATGTAATGAATTAAGTATTTCTTTTCTAAATTCTCTCAACTTTCTTCTCTCGAATCTCTTTCTTTTCTCTGAATCCATAACACAAGTACACAAAAGAAATATTAATGCACTGATTAAGCAACAAAAGTATTTTAAGTCATGGTTCCTACATATGATCTTCAACTTTATTATCAAAGCATCTAGGATCATCATGATGGATACTAAACATACTTAATCATGAAACCATTGACTACTGGCTTTCATCGGGTAATTTCTTACCCATTTTGCATGAAGAACTTGGTAAGAAATAAATGGGTAACAATTAGACTAGTTTGGATTAACTAATTTTCCAAAACAGATTCTTGATGATCAATTTTACCAAAGCTCTACATTTGAAGGATGCCATTCTTATCTGATAGCAATGTTAGTTCAAGAAGAAAAGGAAAAAGAGAGCTCACTCATTAATGAAATTCACAAGTTATACCTAAAAGGAACATATGCAAAGATAGATAGAGATAAGAAAAGAACATATACTCGGTAAAGTTTCATACCTTAACACCCGAACCTTTTGCGTACACGCTAGTGAAGAGTTCAGAGGATTATGGAACTGGATTTTCCTGGAATCAAAGAAAGGTGAAAGAACCAATATTGTAAACATTCCTACCATATATGCTGACAACTAGAAAAAAAAATTATAAATAGTAAAATAATTAAAAAAAATACATACATATAAATACAAACATCTAAAATCAGAATCACTAAATCATAATTATACTACTAAACTGTGTTCACAAGTTCAGATGTTCAATTCATCAATGAAACAAAAGAACAAACATATAGATCAAGCTCCAAAATTCAAGAAAAATGTTAAACTGTGATTAACGCTTTTTCACAATACTAAAACCATTCAAAGGGGAAAATATTTTTTATATATAAAAAAAGAATAGATGGCTGCATACACATATAATTTAAAAAGAAAAGATGACTGGATATACATATAAGTTTAACTATGGAAAATACTCAGATCGATTGTCATCCATGTCCAAAAATGAAAAACAGGGGAAAACGAAACACAAAGCTAACAAAATCACAATCAAACCCAACCATTTCAAAGAATCAAATCAAAATCAACATTTGTTTCAAAAATAAAAAACGATTCAACGAAATAATAACAAAAACAATTTCAGAGATAAATAATTGATAGGGGGAAATTCATGCAAAGTCCAGAAACACAAAAATAAAAAAAATGAAGTAAAAGAGTAAAAATCCAAAGCACAGAAACGGATTCGATGAAAAAGAAACCAAATACCCCTTACCTTTGGGTAAACGGCAAAACTTGCGAATCAGCAGATTCCGCAAAGAGAGAAGAGAAAGTGAGATCGGTGAAGAAGTAGCAAATTCGACGAAGAGAAAGTGAGAAAGGCGAAGAAACAACAGATGGGTTTGGGTAAACGGCAGGAATGAAAAAAATAGGTGAAGAGGGAAAAATAAAAAAGGATTAAAGGGGCGCCGGATTTAGAAACTATAATCTTGCCGATACAAACGCCACTAATGTGGCGTTCATTCTAAACAACGTACGAGTCTTTAGCGGTGTTTATATAAAGACGCCACTAAAATATGAGTCTTTAGCTGCGTTTATATAAAAACGCTACTAAAGTACGAGTATAGCAGCGTTTGTGCTTAAAACGCAACTAAAGTATAAGTATTCGGCGGCGTTACTAAAGTACAATATTTAGTGACGTTTATATAAACCGACACTAAAGTATGAGTATTTACCAGCGTTTGTTCAATAAACGCCGCTAAAAAACCATTTTGTTGTAGTTATGATGACATAATATTTCAAATATTGACTCGATGACATAATAATTAAATGTCTAGCTCAGAGAACCGTGATTTTTTTAACAAAAAGGAAGAATTTGACATATATAAATAAATAGTCGGGGCTCAACAAAGCAATATCATATAACTAAAGGATTATTTTATAATTTTTAATAGTTGGGTGACTAAAAAATAACACCATGTAGTCGAGACTATTTCTGCACTTTAACCTACTTTGAAATTAATGTATTAGTTAAGAAATTATTAATGTTATGTTATGTACTAGATAGAAGAATCAGGTCATTTGTATCGAGTCCTTGGTTGGAAGAGTCTAAGTAGAGTTGTGAAGTTGCTGAATGGGCTTGGGATGTTGTTGCATGCTTCCGTGACATTTGAGATGACCGCATCTCTTCTTCCTGTTGGAACTTGGCAAAATGGTCCTCCCTGTTGGAAGAAAATTGCAGGTTAGTGTTCTTTTCTCTTATGGTGAAAATTGCAGTTGACTTACAATGTTGACGACCGAGTCCCTTGCAACTAAAGTAAGTACATCAGCAAAAGAGACTACGCCTGGGCATTCAACTTCCACAGGCTTTTCACTCCGTCAATGAAATCGAAGCCCCTTAGTGTTCGATTTGGGACGGCATTCTTTTCCGGGGAATGGCCATTGGTGGAGTTTAGAAGCACTGATGCATGATGCATCACAGCCCTGGAAAAAAGAAACAAATATTCTGTCTTTGAACTCTACTTTATATTGAGAGAAAAATGGCTGGAAAAGTACATACCCTAACAAAGCAATCATGGAAGTGCTTTCGAATGAAGGATGCAGCCAGTGATGGGGCACTGGGGATGTGTTCTTGGCAGCTTTTAGCGTAAAAATTCATCTGCAATTGAGCATGAGTTGAGCTTAAAAATGCAAAAAGACCCAAGGCGATGATAATAACCCCTATAAGACC